GTATTTTGAAAAGGCCAAGGCTGCAGCATCAGCAGATAAGACACCACTGTGTATGTAACCTCTGTAATGCTGTGCACAAAGCCAGGCCACTGTGACAGAAATTTGAAAAGTTCAAAATAAATCAGACAAAAGTTGCAGGCCAGCTGCTGACTCTGTAGCCTGGGAGCAAATGTTCTCAAAGTTGGGAATCTCTTGTTGAACTGGATTCATCTCTGTAGAGAAATGGTAACTAGTGAACCTTCCTGGAGGCCTTTGGACTGGTCCTTGTTCACATTCAGAGTTGCAACCTGGAACTATGCTCCTGAGGCAGAAGTGCTTAGTGGGATTTCTTTTTAATAGTTACGTACAGGCATTTCAGCAACGGCATTATTAACAGCGTCATTTTTTCTCATTTAGTTTTGTCCTCAGGGGAGACCAAACAGCTCCCAGAGGAGGGAAGAAAAGTCCAAGGTTATTTATTCATTTCAGTTGAAAAGCAGAGGCCTGGCAGTAGGTGGGGAAACTAACCAGTTGTGAATTCTCCAGTGGGGGAAAATTGCTCCCCTAATTTGACAGTAGTAGTTTAAGGGCTCAGAGAGCTGGGCATGATTCTGCAGTTCCCATCACGCACAGGCAGTCTTAGCACTTGCTGGCTGTTTATATATGCATTTTTGGGGGGAGGGTTTTGGTGGTGTTGCTGGTGGATATAAATCTATGTTTTCCAGGCTACATTGGGAGGAAAGAAAGGTCCCTGGGTATGACACAGTGGACACCTGCAGTTCTGCAAGCTTGCTTCCTGAGGTCAGAAGGTCACATGTCTCTTTTGTATTTAGTTTTTAAACACTGATACTGGCCATGCAGCTAGGGTGTATGAGACTGTTGAACCTCCCCTCAAATCACATGCAAGAGCTCAAAAATATAAGTAGTGGTGTGCATTGAAAGTGACAGCTTTGCTAAGCTCAGAGAAACCTAACATGAAATCACCCAGGCTTTGCAATCTGTCTCTGCACCTTCTTTAAGAGAAGAAAGAGTAAAGAAAACAAAACCAAAAAATCAGCACCAGGAGACACTTGAGATGTCAAACGCCTCTCTGGAGGTCAGAGAAAGACTCAAACTGGGTGGCAATGTGTATTTTGTAATATACAGTTGGGTTTTTGAGAACCCAGCCACTACAAGTCCTGACTTTTCTTTTAGAAAAATAAACTTCTCTGTTAGAAAAGACACCTTTCCCTAATGTGGCAGCAGAGAATAGTTCAAAAAGGAGATCATTGGGAATATGGCAACAGATACTCCTATAGCTGAGAGGGCAGGTTTTGAATTTAGTGTAGGTGGCCTGTCATAGCCCCAGTGCAAGAAATGGAGAACAGTTTAGAGGAGGCAAGGACCAGTCTGGGTGTTTGGCCCATTTTGACAAAATTAGAAACTTTCAGAAAAACTTGAGACCTACTTTTATAAAACATATATACTTTACAATCCATCCTTTTTATCCTCCTCCTTGAATTTGAAAAGATTGGTGTTTCTCAAAGTGGTGAGAGGAACCAGAGAAAGCAGAGGCCCCAGGAACCCAGATTTCCCAAGAGCAGTATCCTAGGATTCTCCCTGGGAAGGCCTACAGTGACCTGAGCATTGGGCAGGCAGCAGAGCTTGGGGCCCAGGTGTCAGCCCTCCTGACTGACTTCTGGTCTGAAAGTCAAAGCCTTCCATACCCAGGATCCCTGAGCCCTTTCTTTCCCGGATATCTATTGTTCATTCTTCACTCTGGTTTTCCTCACCTCACTGTTACTGCTTCTTCCGTTTTTCTTTTCTTGGAAACAAATCAAAACCCCAAACTACAAAGCATCCCCTATGGCCATCAGCATGTACCCCGGCCATCAGCACTGTACAAACACAGACAGGGGACACCTGAAAAGTGATGAGCCTCTCAGGAGTGGGTCTGGGAGGTCTGGAATCTTGGGCTCTTGGGTTCTTACCTGTGTCTGACGCTGCTGCTTCTCTGCCCTGGTGTTCTGCAGCTTTTGTGAATTCTTCTGTATAATGGTGTCAGTTTTTCATTTTTCTTTTCTAAGCTTGTGAGAAACTTTTGGATGCAACGTAGTTTTAGTGGCAAAAGGAAATAGCTTCTGTTGGGAAAGAAGACTAATAAAGAAAGGTAGGGATGTCTGGAGACACTTGCCCAGGGCCCAGCACTGGGCCTCTTTTGCCAGGGGACAACGGCTGGTTCTGGGCTCTGGCTGAAAAGAGTGCTCTCTGGGTGCCAGGATTTCGCTGGGGGTGGTGTAGTGAGGAGGGAGGGAGGGAGGAAGGGAGGGAAGCAGAGAGATGGGCACTGGATTTTTAAAGAGACCCCGAAATAATGGCTTCTGTAAGAGTCCAGGCATTCAAAGAGGTGTGTTCAAGGACATGAGTGCATTTGTGCCAAGGGGAATGTCTTTTATGGTAAATTAACTCCAGTTAAATTGAATATTTGTTCAAAGGAAAACTCCAGTAGTTAAAGCTGGTATTATCAGTGGAGCGTCCCCGCCCCCTCCCGCAGAATCTGGTGAGGGTGAGAAAAGGGATGCAGCTCAGTACAAAGTGATGCTTTGGGATTGTTCCTTTTTTTTTTTTTCCCTTCCTTTCCTCCCTCCTTCTTTTAAAAGTTAAGATGAGGTTGCCTAAAATTTATGAGAGAGGAGTGAGTATTTATTTGGATTAACCCCGACTGTCACCTCCTTTCATCTATAAAGACTGTCAACTTTATCCCAGCTTTTCAAAAAGAAGAAATGACCGGTACAAAGGAAATTAACGTTGTCAGAACGCTAACAAGAGGATTTGCCTAGCGGGGGCAGGGAGGCCGCTCCCCGCGGCGCGTGCCCGAAAGGGTTAACTCGCCCGTGTTCTCACAGTTTCCCCGACTTTACCTGTCCTCCCAGACCCGCGGCCCTCCCCGCCTCCTGGCCTCCCCACCCCCTGCGCCTTTCTTCACCAGGCTCTTGGTTTACAGGGGCTGCAGCTGGTAGACTTGGCAAGCTCGCCTCATTAAGAGCGCTTTTTGAAAACGGACTGTGTTTGAGCATTTCCCTAATGAGGACAGGACGGGGTTAAAAAGTGACCATTTCATGGTTGACTTGAACCTGCCTACTTTTCTTGATGTGTCGTTGTGAAATGCTTGATGTGGGCAACTTCCACTTGGGGAAGGAAAAAGTCACTGCTTCTTTCAGGTCCTCTGGGGGAGGGCAC